TCTTAATTAAACCTTTGACCCTTCAAACTGTATTCTTGACCTGTCAGTCTGTTCACCGCTTTACTTTGAATACCTCGTTGGTTCACTCTCTCATAATCACTTTCACATCTAGTGATATATTAACCGATCATAATTAATTTTAATCAAATATGAAACTTATTAACTTTATTAAATTAACTTGATTATCATTTAAATGTATTTCCTGTTGGTTGTTGTTTCATCAACACCTCGAGGCGATTGTTAATTTTTGTTATTATTGATTTTTGTTGATATCAATTCATGATCATGGTAATTAACTGATCATAATTGTTAATTTAAATTTCCATGATTATTGTTGATTATGTTTGTGGTAAATGTATGACAGTTTGATTATAATTAAACTAGTTTTAATTGCTTCACTTGACAGCCATTGATTAATAATGGTTGATAATCATTTACCTTTTTTTTATATTAATAATAATAAGGTAAATTGAACTTAATTATATTGGGAAAAGTTTTATAATCATTGAAAGTGATTTAGTAACAATTTAGTGTTTGAAAATTAACGATGATTATGGTTAATTGCTCAATGAACAATTTATGGTTGATTAGTTAATCACTAACTACAGGTCAAGCAATAATTTAATGCTTTCTTTCAACTGACCTTTTCATTTTTTTTTGTTTGTCAACAACAATTAGATTTAATCAGTAAATTCAATTGACAATCAAGTAAATCAAGTGAAAAAAAAAGGTGAAAATCAAATTGCAATCAAATTAAATCGGTAAAGTTAATTGTTGGAGGAAAAAAAGTGATCTATTCTTAATCATAATCTTAATTGTTGATCACATGGCAGGTCAAAGTAATTATGATGAAACAATTAACAGTTAACAAGGTAAGAATCACAATCGGATTAGAAATCTGTTAATCTTAATTGTGATTAATCAACTTCAACCACAGAGATTTGATATTATTAATTATTCATTCACTATTAATAATTAACTATTCATTGATTAACCAACGGTTATGATATCAATCAATTTAATTGTGAAATTGTAAATTTGCGATCACAGTTAAGGAAACAATTGATTCTCACAATTGAATTAAATTCCGGAAATAAAAGTAAAATTTATCGTAATCATAATTAACTAATCAATAGTGAAAAATTTAGTTAACTATTTCCCATTTCTAGCTGTTCTATTGTTAAATTGGAAAAGTTAATCATAAATTGTTGTAATCATAATTAGGTTACAATCATAATTTACTGTTGATTATTAAATTATGATTGAGATGAAGATGTTGATTGTAATTAACAGCAACAAAATATATAATTATAGTAACTGTTATATCAAATTGTTGATATTTTATTAATAATAATCAAGAAAACAAAATTTTAATCATCATCATCAACATCCAACACCAAAATCAACACTGATTAACAATCAACAAATTTAATTGTTACTGTTGAAAGTTAATTGTTATAAAATGAAAAAATTGAAAGGGCAAAAATTAAGATTGATTTGATTGTAAAGGCAATTCATATCAATCCAAACAATTAATAAATTGCTTCTGTTGTTATTTGGTCTGTTGATTTAATTACATTCACTTTGATTATTTTTATATATATAAATTGTTACTATTTGTTATTTTTATAGTTATATAATATTTGTCATGATTAAATTTAATTTAGTTCAAGTTGATTACTGTAAATTTTTCTCAACAATTCAATTCAATTCAATTTCACTTGAAAACTTGTTAATTGTTTAAATTGACCAAAAGTTAATTGTTTAATCAACTTTTTTTTTCTGATTCTTTTGTCTAATTTAACAATCAAGAGTTAATTTTAACAGGTAAAGTGTAGATACACCTATGTAATCAAACAATTAAACTTAATTGTATATGAGAAAAGTAAACTAAATTAATTGTAATCAGGAAATAAAGCACAAAATGATCAAAAAGTTTGTCTTTTTCAAATCGTGTTATTTTCGCGCTCTAAATAGCAAGGGATGATAATGATGATGAGGATGATCATGTCCCAGTTTTAACTTAATCATCTTTATCATCCTAATCATCATTAAATCATAATGATGATTTTTTTTACCTTAAAAATGATTTAAATTGAAATAATATTATCACTAAACCATAAATGTGAAAATAATGTTCATCATCATGATTAACTAATTAACTATTTAATTTAACTGTTTTTGCAACAATTAAATCAATGGTAAATTTTTTATAAATATTGTAAATTATTATATATTAAGTTAATTGTAAACATTTAAACGTTTTTCTCTCAATATTAATTACAATTAACAGTTACATATATTCAACTAACTGAAAAAATTAAAATTTTCATTTCATTTTCAACAAGTGATTATAAATAATGAACAGCTAATGATTAACTTAATCGTGATGGTGAATGGAGGATATTAATTGTCAACTTAATCATCATTTAATACTAGTGATTATAATCAATTTAAGAGATAATCAGTAAGATGATTATTGGATTAAAGGTAAAATGTGGGAGGGAAGACGATAATTCTGGTTCCGGGTTCGCAATCAATTCAGGAAATGGATGAAGAAAAAAATTAAGAAAGGAAACTGAATTAACCTTTTTCCTTTACGAAACATTTTTCATCAATTAATATTGATTTTTTTTTCTTGTATCATCATATAGATGAAAAAAATTGATTTCCAATGAAAAAAAATAAGAATCATGATTTCTGATGATTGTGGGTAAAAGATTCATTGAACACAATCAAAATTGATTGTGATCGGTTTCATGACAATTAACCTTGGACCCATCAAATAGATAGACAAATGATTTGTTGTTTTTATCATCATTTTAGGAGTAAAAAACTGAATTGATTCAAGTGATTAAATTGTTGTAAGATTGTAAATTGTTAGCATAGTTTAAATTGTATTGGGTTTATTGTAATTCAACAATTAAAACTTTCTTACCCATGGGAATCCCCCTTGTAAAGATTCATAGTATTTTTTGTTGTTGGTGTTTTGTTATCATTGGATTAACATGGAGTAACTATTTTTGAAATTCATGAGTTAATTTTACCTTCTAAACAATCAACTAATTGTAAAACTGTTTCAACTACAACAACAACAAAATTCTGATATTAACCTTGAGTTACGCTATTATTGTGATTAAAATACTACTAAAATTAATATAACAATTAAAACTTTCACTCAAACTCATTTACTAGATTAACATAACAATCAATGGTTGATGGATACTATTAATAATAATTACTTGGATTGATAATGAGGATGAGATGAAGTAGATGATGATGTTGATTATGAGTATGATTATACTGATGATTATAAGGATAATATGGTAAACAATTAAATTGAGCAACAACAAATTGCGTGATTACAATCAAGAGTAACCCTTTGATTGTTTAGTATATTATAATAATAATCTAGTTTCTTAACTTTCTCGGCTCAATCAACATCAGCAACAAGTGAAAGTTAATTGTGAGCAACAGCAGAAAAGCAATGGTAACATCAATCAACAACAATTTAGCCTTTGGGTTAAAATGATTATTTTAATACAATACAAAATTTGAAAACATTGACCCTGAAGATGAGGATGAGGATGAGGATGAGGACGATGAAAAGATCAAGAGAGAGAGAGAGAGAGAGAGAGAGAGAGAAAGAGAGAAAGTTTGAAGAGATGAAGATAATTCTGTATGAATTTCCATCATGTCTCCTCCTGAAACTATCAACTTAAAATTAACTTTTCTTTAAATGAACTTTCAACCAGAAACCGATTGGCACTACAATTGAGATGGTAGTTGATTTTTCAACGATTAATCTGGTTGATATAACACAAAGTGATTAACAATTAACCATCATCAGCGTTAAAATTTACCCTGTATGAGTGTATGTGTATGTGTATTTGTGTGTATACAATATACAATATAAGGTTGACGTTTGGTGAATAAAAAGTTTCACCAAAAAAAAAGTTTCGCTTCGGTTAATAATCTTCATTAAGAAACTCAGGTAAACAATAAACAACAACAACAAGAAATAAGATCAACAATAATAAGAATCAGAATTGGTTGAAAAAGTACAAGAAAAAAAAACAAAGAATTACAATTAAAAAATGAATACAATTGATTGTATTGAGACAATGAATCCAATGGTCACAATCAATTTAACTAATTGTTATAATCAATCATATGTATTGTTCACCTATGATATTTATAGCATTTAGTTATGGGTTAGTGGTGATTGAGAGTTAATCAGATATTCAGATGAAATTGTAAACACAATTAGATTTACTCTCATTGCAAAGTTAATTGTTTGATCAACTTGACTATCTGATTAATGAATCTGAAAAAAAATCCCTAATAACATTACATGGTAAAAGTGTTAGATTTTATCTGATCATTTACCTTTTTCATCAACAATTAATTAAACATAACAATTAAACAAAAAGTAATCATTGAGTTGACCTTTTTTTTTCAAGCCTTAAATTTTGTCAACTCACTCAACGTAATCAATTGATAATTAAATTGCGTTACAAGAGCAATTTAGCCTGATCTAATTGTAGGTTATTGTTGGTTGGAAAATTGTTTAATTGTTTAGGAAAAACGAATACGATTTAATTGTTTCAACGTTTTCAAAACAATCAAGAAGAAGATGAAGAAAACAAAATTAATACAGAAACTAAATCAAGGTGATAATATAAATCAAAGTAATATGATAATCACATAACAATTAAACAGAATAGAAATTAATTAATCTAATCATCTTTACGTTCATCATCAATTGTTAACATGCTTGCTGACAATTGTATCAATGAGTTAATTAAATCAAACATATAAATTATTTGTACTGATGATAATTAAAAATAAAAACTGTCACATTAATTAAGGTGATGACAATTAACCAAAATCAGTTGATTAATATCACATTAGCATGACAATTAACAAGAGTCTAATATAAATCAAGATGAGTTGATTGTTAACACACAATTGGATTAAGAAAAGTTGTTATTAGTTACCTTGATTGTCACAATTAATCCGAACAATTAACTTTGTTAATGATACACAATTGGTTTTTCAATTCTGTTGATTAATATTGTCCATTGGTGTTAACACATTTTATCCGATTTTTTTTAACTTAACAGTTAATTGTTGACACTCACTTAACATCTGATGATACAATTAGTTAATTGTTGTTAAATCAACACAATGTTCACTATTAAATTGGTGAAAATTAAAGGCACATTGATTGAAATTAAAGTTTACTGAATGAAAGGCAACTCGTAACTGAGAAATAATATTTTTTTACTTCTTCTTCCCTTTCGATTTTTCCCCTTATCTTCCTTGTCTTCTCTTTCTTCTGGTTAAACTGGTTTACTCTTTCATTTTTCTCTTTCGCACTTTACTGATTCTCTCTTTCTTTACCTCTCTTTCGATACCTCTTTCATTTTTCTCTGTCTAATACTTTTCGCACAATTAGTTAATTGTAATAGTACAATTAAATGTTTCCAATCCGATTTTAAAACTTTTTCGACAACAACGATTGACTTGAAAAACTTTTCTCCAAATTTAATTGTTGTTACAATTAAAAGACTAGTCGAAGGTTAATTAACTATACTAGCAATTTGGGGGATGATTAACATCATTAATTATAACAATTTATCAATTGTTTTGTTTTATTTTCATCCAATTCTAATTAACTCAATTCTCAAGGTTTTAATTGTCGCGATTGTTGGTAAACTTTTTTTCAATGTTTTTTTCGTATTTTAAATTGTTCAGATTTTTATTTGATTGTTGATTGTCTTTGTTTCTTTCCCTCTTTCTAGTCAAACAATTAAATTTAATTGTGTTTCCGTTTTCTAATTTAACAATTGTATTCACCTTGTTTCCGGAAATCCTTGGACAATTAAACTTAACCATCATCTTGAGGTTAAATTGTGATTTAAACTTTTCCTACAGGTAATCACAATTAAAGGCCAAACCTTTAATTGTGATTGTGTCTCCTACTCACTCTGTGTAGATTTTTAATTGCAATTAAAAAGTAATAACCATTGGGTGGGCGATTTAAATGATTCATAATCAATTTACTTATGTTAACAATTAACTTTACGATAGTTTAATCAACTTTTGTGCTTTTAATCAACACAATTGAAAATCAAATTAAAAACAAAACAAAAACAAAAACAAAAAAAAACAAGGAAATGATTTGTTAATTGTATTTGTGTGTTTGTCTCTGTGATGATTAATGATTGATTCAAACAATTAGTTAATCAAAGAAATAGCTTGTTTTCTGATGATCATCAACAATGATAATATTTAATTGTTGATTGTAATCAACTGATTATGATGTTGTAATTAGAAACTTGTATATATGAAGATGATACAGAAAATGATGATTGATTAATCCAGGAAAAAATTGATCATTCCCAGTGATTTAATTGCTTGCCAATTGGATAACAATTAAATTTACATAACCAACAATCAACTGGATTAACATTTTGTGATCAATTATTTTGTTTTAATCTTCATCCATAATCATTATCATTACAGTTATATTGTGATTAAAATGATAATTTAAATAGCAATTTAAACAACAATCAAGGAAATAGTAACTAACCTAACCTATTAATATATTAAACATACTCAATCATCTTGATCACAATTAGTTGATTCTCAGAGAGACTCATCATCTTAATCATTATAATAATAATCAACCACCAAACCCAATTTATATAAAACCGAGGTCAATTGTTAATTTTAATTGTTACAATTACAAAGTTGTTTCAATCAGAAAACTTCAGTGATTAAAAAGAAGCAAAATTTTCTTGGTAAACTGGATTAGTTAATTGTTTCAATGAGAATAGTTTAATCAACTCAATTGTAGACAAACTAAATCAGACTCAATATCATTGACTTATCTCGTACTGATTGATTTACAATTAAATCAAATCAAATTGATTGATCTACATGACAATTAAGTGTTATTTATTACTTTACAAACTTAATCATGTTGTGTTTCAATTAATTAACTTTCATCGTGATAATTAAAAAAGAGTCAAGGTCAACAATTAGATTATCGATACAATGATTTACAATTATGATCAGAAAATTTGATTGTTTGATTTTTCTTACACATGGAACTGAATTAAAGTTAATTGTTATGAGCAAAATCTAATCGTAATGGAATTGATTTAACCCTTTTCAATTTGTTTATTTTTCCATACAAGTAAATGATTGATTATCCAAATTTTAATCGGATTTTAAGTGATGATTAATGATGATGATGATCACAATTAAGCTGATCAACAATTCCTATGGTAATTAACATAACATTGGAATTAAAAAAACTGGTTAATTTACAAACCAGAAAATCAGTTTGCAACCCTGATCATGGTTTACAACAATCAAAGTGAATTAAATTGATTACCAATTGAAATTGTGGTAATCACGATTCCCAATGTAATCAAATTATAATTATAATCAACTTTGTGTTGAACAATTTGTTAAACAATTTAACAATGATCGTAATTGTTGGGTTACAATCCCATAGTAACTAGGAACTAATTACAGCCTCATTGATTGTTAATTCACCAACAATTTAACCATGATCAATATGGTTGATTGTTAATAAAGGTTATCAACCCAACAGTTAATAAACTTGAATTAAATCAAGTAAATTTTTCAAGTTAATCAAAAAATCAAAAACTCTCAACGGCAACAATCAAGTCCAATGGACTTTTTTTCATCTTGTCTCATTGTAAAACAGAATCAAAACTGTTAACATTCAATTTGATTAATTTAATTGTTCCAACTGATTATTTGGATAAAATCTCATCTCAAGTATAACAATTAGCTTAATCATATGGAATTAATTTAGAAGCAAGAAAGGAAAACAAATATCGAGTTTGATGTTTACTTGGAAAAAAAGAAGAAGAAAAAAGTTCTAACCAAAAGTTCTGATATTGATTAGAATTGATAGACAGAACTTATCATGCAAACTCAGTTGATTCCATTGTAAATTCAGTTCTTTCATGATTATCTCCACCTCTCCCTGAACATGTATCATGCCATAGTCCAGGAAAATCAAAGATTGGGTGTGTCTCCATCATGGAAACTTAATCATCATCAATTTCGAGCCGAATATGTATCCATTAAGAAAGAAAAGTTATTCATGATGTTTTCATAAAAAAAGAGAAAAAAAAATCTCATACTCATCATGAACTTTCCTGAATATGGAACCAGAACTTTCACCTGAGTTTCTGAATACAAGATTTCTCCCCATCAACCAATTAGCTAACCTTAAGAATAAGTTAATTAGTGGTTAGTTAAAACACTAAACTTAAATTGTTTACAATCTAAAAATCAGCCTTGAGTATTTAGGAAAAAAAAACTAATATTAAATTGGATTCATTTTCCCTTCCAAGGTAACATTGGATTCTCAGGTAAACTTACATTTCCTATGTAATAACAATACTATTATTATGATAATCAGTTGATTGTGTATTCCTACAACCTATTTTTATCATTGATAATCATTTAATTGTTACCATAGAAACTTGATTGACATTAACTAAATCATAACAATAAACATACACCAAGTCGATAAATTCAATACGATCATTTAAACCAAACCTTTAAATTCATTGATCATCAAAATAATGTAATCATTTAATTGTTGGTTAATTGGTTAATTGGCTAATTTAAATCAATTGAAAAACCCCTCTCGATATCAAATATTATCATAATTAATGTTGGTTAATCAATCACACACACAACTGATTCCAATACAAGTAATTATCATGGTTAATTATTGGATTGGATTAATATTAATTTGATTTGAAAATGTTAATTGTTACATTTTAAATGTTAACCAATGATTATTATCAATATTTAATCACAATCAATTGATTGATGAGTAAGGTGTGTATATATTTGTAATTGGATAACAGGTAAAGGTTAATTATTTGGTTAATTGTAGTATTGGTTGACCTTTAAACAATTAGTATCAATTTAATTGTTTATCTTGAAGGTTTAATCATAATGATAATCATTTGAATTAAATCAATTTTTGATTTTCTCATTGAAATTGTTATCAAATTCATTGATCAATTGATTTTTTTCTTGTGATCATCGTTTAATAATTGATTATAACTTGTTAACCTTGGGTTAAATTGTTCACTGATTAATTGTTGCAATTGTAAATAAACAAAACTTAATTATGTGTATTAACTGTTAGCTAAATTGTTGATCATAAAAATCTCGCCAGAAAATGGTTAACTTTCACTTGGATACTCATGATTATCATGATAATCAAAAAAAAAAGCTCATAGACTGAATTGGAACCTTGAAAACTTGATCAGATTAAATTGCTTCAAGATATTACATCAAATGATGATAAGGATGACGAAGATGATGATGATGATGATGAAAAAATGATGAAAGAAACTAGTTTTTTTCAGTTGATAATAATTTTTTCATCTTCCTCATCAATTTTTTGTTGGTTACGCTTTTAATGTTATTATTATTACATTGAAATTGAAGTTTTCAACATGATCATCATGGTCTCATGTAGATAGACAATATCTCAGGTAAATCATATGCCCATTAATCAAATTGTTTATAGCGTGATTACAATTTAGTTCTGAACAATTATAATTAACAATACAATTGATTTGAAATGAAACAGAGAAAAGGAAAAGTTTTTTTTTCTCTTCTCATAATCGACAAAAAAAAATAATATCACATATCCATCATACGTTTCCAGGGCAAAGGGTAAATCATCCGAGACCCAAGGAGCTGGGTGAGGTTGAGGTGAGCAAAGGTAGATGATTATGAAGAGGAAGAAGATGATTAAATGATAATGATGATGATGATGATGATGATAGAGAAGATCATTAACCTTTTGTATATTTTGCTCTTCTTTCAGCTTTTGTCCTTTAGCTATTTCTGTCTCTCTGATCCATTGTATTGTTACCTGTAGTCTAGCGTAATACAAATCCTTACGCTAGGTAGTTAATTGTTACCTTTTTGTATCAACCAGGTAATTTAAATCATTCATCATTTACTATTGATCTTCATCTTCTGTTGCCTTTCTCATCTTTGTTATCATAATTTGGGTAACTAACATTTGCTAATATTTACACCTCATTGAATAGGGATAAACATTATGGTTTTCATGACAATTAATCATCATTTTTTTTTCTCGTTTCTCAATGAAACTTTTACATCTTATTTCATTGATAAATTCATTGATGTTAATTGTGAGCTGATTGTTTTGTCCTGTGTGTTGAAATAATATTTGGATTTGACTCTTGATTGTGAGATCTAATGTTCATTGAGAATTGTTGATCATTTGTGAATGTGAGAGAGACAATAGTTGATTGTTAATGAAGGTATACAATTTGATGGGTTAATGATTTGATGAGATGTTAATTATGCAACTGTTAACATGGTTTTAATTGCTGGTAACTTGATTATAATTTGAATACACAAGGTGATTAGTTTACAACAATCAGACAACCAAAGGGTTAACCTTACCTTAGACTAAAAAAAAAGATGATTTTTTTTCTTATCAATGGGAATCCCCTTTGTAAAGATTCATAGTATTTTTTGTTGTTGGTGTTTTGTTATCATTGGATTAACATGGAGTAACTATTTTTGAAATTCATGAGTTAATTTTACCTTTTAAACAATCAACTAATTGTAAAACTGTTTCAACAACAACAACAACAAAATTCTGATATTAACCTTGAGTTACGCTATTATTGTGATTAAAATACTACTACAATTAATATAACAATTAAAACTTTCACTCAAACTCATTTACTAGATTAACATAACAATCAATGGTTGATGGATACTAATAATTACTTGGATTGATAATGAGGATGAGATGAAGTAGATGATGATGTTGATTATGCATATGATTATACTGATGATTATAAGGATAATATGGTAAACAATTAAATTGAGCAACAACAAATTGCGTGATTACAATCAAGAGTAACCCTTTGATTGTTTAGTATATTATAATAATAATCTAGTTTCTTAACTTTCTCGGCTCAATCAACATCAGCAACAAGTGAAAGTTAATTGTGAGCAACAGCAGAAAAGCAATGGTAACATCAATCAACAACAATTTAGCCTTTGGGTTAAAATGATTATTTTAATACAATACAAAATTTGAAAACATTGACCCTGAAGATGAGGATGAGGATGAGGATGAGGACGATGAAAAGATCAAGAGAGAGAGAGAGAGAGAGAGAGAGAGAGAGAGAGAGAGAGAGAGTTTGAAGAGATGAAGATAATTCTGTATGAATTTCCATCATGTCTCCTCCTGAAACTATCAACTTAAAATTAACTTTTCTTTAAATGAACTTTCAACCAGAAACCGATTGGCACTACAATTGAGATGGTAGTTGATTTTTCAACGATTAATCTGGTTGATATAACACAAAGTGATTAACAATTAACCATCATCAGCGTTAAAATTTACCCTGTATGAGTGTATGTGTATGTGTATTTGTGTGTATACAATATACAATATAAGGTTGACGTTTGGTGAATAAAAAGTTTCACCAAAAAAAAAGTTTCGCTTCGGTTAATAATCTTCATTAAGAAACTCAGGTAAACAATAAACAACAACAGAAATAAGATCAACATGTAAACTTATCATACACGAATATATGATATCCTTAATCATTTACAATTAAAAGTTCTAAGGTTATTCATACCATAATTAAGACACTCAGAACGGAAGTTGACATCGACCTCTAAAAGTAAGAGGTTAATGAAATTACCTGATACTTAATTATAATTAGTTTATGATCTTATCAACATTCAGCTACTATATTTTATTGTCAATGTTGATTAACTGGTTTGATATGAAACAATTCAAGGTAACAATTAATTTTGTTCACAATCTCGTCCTCATTTCACTTTTAACAATCAACATCAAAAATATCGATCTGATAATTTGAGATTTACTTTGATTGTACTTACGCCAATTGTTTGTCCAAATTGTTTATCAATTGTTGATTGTTGATTAATCCGATTTGGTTAGTAAATCACCTTGAATATTACACTAAACACTAATCACTAATCAATTGCTATTCCTAAACAAAGTTCACCATAATCACAATTTATAAATACTCCAAATTGAGGTTGTCTGTCCGATGTTCACAATGTTAGTGATTAGAACTTAGAAATATCGAATTTTCATCTCGAACTTTTTCCCCTCTTTTGTTCCCCTTTATCTTCTCTTTCGATTCAGCTAGTCCATTCTGTCTATTGATCTGTCTCTCTCACTTTCTCACTCTGTCTCTCTTCCTCTTCCCCTATCTCACCAATTCCACAATTAAGGTAACAATTAATTGATTGTTCGAGAAAAGTATCGATTAGAACTGTTGTCCAATCAAACGACTAATCCTTTACTCTTGATTAACCATAGAAATGATTAATTGCTCTTTTAATTGATAATCACAATCAGATGATTAAATGTTTAGAACAATTAATTTAATTGTTCTCATTTAAAGTTTTCTTGTCAATCTAAATTGTTTCCGTCTTTACTTATTGATTGTGTTAATCTTTTAATGATTGAATTTGTTTTTTTTTTCAATTTCAATACAAATTTAATTTTACTTTTTTTCTTGTCATTATTAATAGTTAATAATCAATTGATTGCCAACAATTAACAGCTATTTAAAAAATTGTATAATCTATTATCACGTTTTCATATTTAATTGTGGATTAGCTTTTCGTTGATTAGTTAATTATAGTTGGCTACTTATATATATTGATTAACTAAATCACTTCCACTTTTTTTGATTGTCCAACTAATTTGATAACCTTTTGTTTGTTGGTTAATAATTAAGGTGTAAATTGTTATTGATTGTGTTAAATTTGGTTCATTAATTTGATTATGATCACAATTGATTCACCACTAAATTGATTTGCACTTGCTGATCTTAATTATATGTCTATTGAAATGCTAATTGTAATCAACTTTTTATCATTCGTAAAATTTTCACCACAATTAACTTTCAATTTACTAATGATAATTATAAATCTTCAATTTGTGTCCACTAATTTAAATTAAATGAGAAATTGATTAATTATATTGGGAAACTGTTTTCATCTCATTCATCACAATTTAAACTTTAATTGTTGGCTTTCAGTTAAATTGTTATTATTATTGTGAATGCGTTAACTACAATTAGTTAACAGTAAATTGTCAACACACATTCAGATACAATCAGTTTCCATGTTAATAATTAATTCATCTCCACCTTTTTATTTTCATATTATGATTAAATATCTTTGGGTGTAACTTTGTTTTCAACCAGTTAACTGTTGTTAAGATGACAACAATCAACTAATCATTTTGATGAAACAAAAATCAATAATCATCTTGGTTAACCATTGAGAGGCTTTTAATTGTTACAAACCATTTAATCCGCAAGAATTAGTAAAATTAACAGTATAAGGATCAAGCATACGATCTTGTTAATTGTAAACCTTCAACTGATTTTAAGAGAAATCGTTAATCATAATTGATCATCCTAATCAATTGCCGAAAATGTTGATTAGTTTATTATTATTTGCTATCAAACTGTCACCATAGCTACTTAATTGTTGCCATAGGAATCAAGCCAAGCAAATAAGTAACAAAACATTTTCTCAGACATTATAATGTTGTCAATAGATTTAAATTGTTATATTAAAATAGCTTTGCTCCAATGCTAATGATTAATTAATTAATTTGGTAAATTTAATTCACCGCTACATGTCGAGTCATCTGGTGGCTCAGAAGTGAACTAACTTGATGTTGGATAGAACAAAAAATTTCAACTTAAATTTGAATTTATCAATTGAAACTCGTTGCAATTGTTATAATATAATGCTAGTAAATTGCAGAGACAGTTTAGATTTAATTAATTATATTGTTCAGCACCAACAAAAAACAATCTCGTAGAGTTGAGGGTCAAACAATTTTGAAATTTTGATTTCTCAAAATTCTGATCACTGAATTAAACAGTTAAGCTTCTCATAGGCTCTATTGAGCATTTAAAATCTTAGCGGAGATTTTCAAGGTCATCCAGACCATTTATCGAATATCATATCTAGAGGTTATTTGAAAGTTTTTTTTTCGAAGAGAGGAACAGAACTGTTTCTATGTATGTTAGAAACCAAAGGTTACAATTAGTCGAGTCTTTTAATTGCTTAATCATTTTCGACCAACTTTTGCTAAAGAATCACTTTCGAGATCGGATTTTGGCCTCGTCGAAAAGAACTATTCAAAAAAATTCTGACCTGAAAATGCGAAGAATAATGAAATTATTTCGAAACGCACTAGTTGACCAAACACCGAAATGACCTTGATCTTTCAATGACAATTAATTATCGATAAAACTCTATAAGTCTCTAGAAGTCACAATTAACGAGAAATATGAAAAAAAACATCGAATTGAATTCAAATCTAATCAATTTAATTATCACAAAGTTTTAAAAAGCTAATTAAAAATTGATCAATTTGATTAATCTTATCAATGAAATTTGATCAAATGTCAAGGTAACTTAAGTTTATCATTTATAGTAATTAAAATTTTCGATCATCAATTGAATTCAGTTAATTGTAAAAAAAAATGTTCATTTTTATTCAGTTAATGTTTTTTTTTCTTGTAACAATTAATCCTGAATACAGAAGCAAATTAACTTTGGTCAGATAAGATTAGTACTTAATTCAATAATCATTTGATTGTAATACTTAAATTGATTCCCTTTAAAGATATTAATCATTTTGTATCATTGATAATAAGAAAATTTGATTTTCAATTAAATTGAAACCTAGAAATCAATCAATGATCAAGGTGATTTCACATTTAAATTGATCCTTTCGTTGATTATATTATAACGATTGTCTCCCGTTTATAATTGTTGACCTTGTTGTTGTTGTTGTGGTTGAGGATTAGAGTGGACAATTTGAGTATTGTAAACTGATGGTGGACTGTAGTTGGGCATTGGTACGAAGTACATTTGCTTTTCAATGCCGCTTGGATCTCGAACCAACTTGCTCAATGATGATCCTTGGGTGGGCTGTTCGGATGGCCTCATGAAGACGAAAGTTGTCTCGAAACCAGGAGCTCGAATGGTGGTCGATGGTAGTGAGTTAAAGGACGATGGTAAAGGTGCTGATTGTTGTTGTTGTTGTTGTTGTGGTTGTGGTTGGAATTGTTGTTGATTGTTGAAGAAATTGTTGGAGAAACCAAGGGAACCAAATGATTGTGGTGCTGTGGGTTGGGTTGAGGGTGGGGTTGGAAGATTAAGAGGAGCTGATTGGGGAGATTGGAAATTGAATGGGAAGTTATTGTTACCTTGGGGATTAAAGAAAGGCGATTGGAAAGGTTGATTAGCTAATTGTTGTGATGATGGAGCTTGATGGTTGTGAACATGGGTTGAGAATTGGTGAGTTAATTGTGGTTGAGGTTGGAATTGTTGTTGTTGTTGTTGTGATTGTTGATTTTGATGTTGATGGTGGTGGTGTTGTTGATGAGCTAAAGCTGCTGGTGAGCCTGCAGGGTGTTGGGGTAGAGGTGGAAGAGCGGGTAAAGTGATTGATGTTTGGAAATTTGGTCCACTGATTGTTGTTGGTGATCCAGCTGATTGTTGAGCTGGATTAAAGGCTTGATTATGGGAATTGGAGGTGACAAAAGGTGAAACTGATTCAGATGATGATGCAAATGAAACTGATGGATTAAGAGATCGAGCAAAAGATGATCGTCCATTTAATTGTTGCCATTGGGGTAATTGTTGACTTGATTGTTGTCCAAGTGATTGAGATGCAGAGGAAGATACAGCTGATGATGATACTCCGTTAAATGAATCACGATTTCGAGACATAAATGAATCAAATGCTGGCGATTGACAGTTGACTGAAACAACCATAAGAACTGTAACAATCTAATATACATAAAAAATAGAGAAAGAAAAACTCAACAATTAAGATGACACATCAATATCGAGAGAGAAAGAGAGAAATGAAAATAATGTGATCAATAAATTGTCACAATTATTCAACAATCAACTGAGAAAACAAAAAGAAACCAATAACTTACAATGAATTTCATCTTGATTTTTTAGACCAAATTTAAGTTTCGATTGATATTACTGTTAATCAACAATTAATCTGTTACTTTCAAGTGAACAATTTAAAATGATCAGATTGTTGGCTAAGGCGTTTCTCTTATTTATATCAACTGGCCTCAGGCTACTTTTGGTAACTACCTTTTTTTGCTCTCTTCGAATTTCAATTTTGACGTCATCCTTGTGGTCACTTCGATATATTGAGAGAGAGAGAGAGAGAGAACGAAGATTTATCTTCTCTTTCCTCCCTTTCTTTTAATGGTCACTTTCTCTTTCTCTCACCCAGAAATTTTGACTGACACATGGAGATCAACATCTAATCATTATCATTAACAATTAACAACAGTTAATTGCGATTTCAACAAACCTTAACAACTCCGGAAGTAAATGTATCATAATAATACATAAGACTGATCCTTGATCACCTATGAGATTAATTGTAATTAATTGTGATACTTAATTAATGGTTGTTGATTGTTGTTACCATCAAAATCAATGTTATTAATAACATTGATAACATTGACAAGTTTAATGATCAACAATTTAATTTTAATCATAACAATTTGTTTGTTCATTTTTGCAACAAGGTTAATTCATTTACCTTTAATTGTGACAAACTTTTGCAATTTACAAATTCAACAATCAGGTTGATGACATTTAATTAAGTTACAATAAGTAGTTAATGTTAATAATAATTGTATTAGTTGTATATATTTAAGTTTAAATTGGCCAACAATTAACTGACCTTTGTAATTGTCATGATTACAATTAACCTCTAACCTGCCATTGATAATTAAATTTGATTGTTAAAATGGTTTAATGAAATTAATTTAATATTTAGATTAACCTTGTTAATTAAATTATATTTGATTCTCATCAGAAAATAACAACTAATTGTTTAATTGTTTGACTATCGTTTTCAAGGTAATTACAATTAAACTTGTTTTAAACTTTAATCATCTATGTAATTAAAGTTTCTCATTCAGTTAATTGTTACTATTATTTACTATGTAATATTAGTAAAATGTTGGGTAAACAATTAGAAACTGTTAATTGTTGTTAACTGGTTTTAATCTAATCATTCTGGTTAACCTTGATTAACTTAATTTAACTTGATTCTTAATCTTTGTAATTAATATACACCAACAATTAAGCAATTGTTGTTGCTTTAATTTTCTGTAATATTATCACAAAGTTAATTGTTATTATTAATAGTTGATAATCTTAATCATTATTTTTAGCAATCGGTTTACAATTAATCTTATTATCAAATCATTTGCAACTTTTAACAGCAAGAAAATTAAATTAATTGTTGTGGTTAAATGTTTTCTAGTTTACTAATCCAATTCAATGACAGTTAAGTTAAACCATCATCATGGACAAATTGTTGATTGTTAATTGTAATTACGATTGTTAAATTGTTTGAAAATTTTGTTTTTTCCTTTCCAATAGGTGAAAATTGATTCTTAATTGTTAACAATTTGAATATGTATCATGTTAATTGTCAGACATTATAATTAGATGAATGATATTTCCTGGTGCACCTAAATTATTTAAATCAATTGTTAACAATCAAATTTCAATATCAATTTACAATCATCATCATAATTTAAATATCAGGCAATTTAATAAACATGATCAGCTAATTGTTCAACAGATCATCAATCAGTAAGATCTTTAATTGCTTAAAGTTAGAGACTGTTAATTAAGATGATTTGATGTTGGAGAGTTCAATCAAATAATAATCGTTAACAATTAATCAAAAAACTTTTTTCTCCAATTAAAAAGGTCAGAAAAATCATCGACTCGAAAAAGTTGATTATGATTAAATAGAATCAAATTAATCACAATCAACGGTAAACTTTGTCCTTTTTCATTAATCCTAATCAGACATTTAACAAATTAACTAATCCTAATCAATCAAAAATTTTAATTCTGATTAGTTAACCTTTAATTAGAGTTGTTCAATTGATTATATTTGATTATCAAATCAGCTGAAATTTACAATCAAATCATTTTAAAATGTTCAATCGTAATCATTGAAGGTTATTATCAACAATTAGTTAATTTCTGACAATTAATTAAGTGTTGATTTTCCTTAATCATCAAACTTGATGGTGATGATGATGATTTTGTCTCTAATTAACCAATTTGAATTGGAAATTATTTGTAACATTTATTATAACAATCAGTTGATTACTCGGAAATAACAATTTAACTAATCAATTTGTGTTTTTGCTCAATTTTTAATTGAAAGGTTTTAATCAAATGAGCAACAATTTAATGATTGGGAAGAGGTTAATCAAATTGCAAAACTAAATTAACTTTTTCCTTATTTGTTAATGACAAGTTTCAGTTAATCAAACTTGTTACCATTAAACTGGACAAGTTGATAATCATGATTAACAATTTAAATGGGTGCGGTAAATTGTTGATTAAATTGTTGTTGTTGATTGGACAATGTTGTCTGATTGTTTAAAATCATGATCATCATAATCAATTGATTGTTTCCTGAAGGTGAAAACAGCAATTTAATTTGATTTTGTTTCTTCATTTACAATTTAAAATGTTTACAATCAATTTGAAGATGAAAACAAATTAAAGGATAAAATAAATTAATTAACTAATTAACAGTTAACAATATAAGATTACCAGATTAACCTTTAGGGTTTAGGTAATCAAGTTAATTGTCCAACACACACACACACAATTAACAATTCATATTAATTTTCATTTGTCCTTCTTAATTGCTTTAATTAATATTGCTACAAAATGATTATTACAATTAACCTTTGCCAATGATAATCATTGACAGATTTTAGCACAATTAAAATAAATCATCAATCTCAATGATTAAAGTAATTAAACTGTGGTGATTAAATTTTCATGCCTTATATTAATATTGAAAGTAATTGATTTGTAAAAGAATCAAAATTTAATTGTAACCAGTTGATTGTAATTAGATTGTTACATTGAACATGTTGATACAAATTGATTATCATTGAAAACGAAACACTTACCAAGTTAATTATCAAGTATTTCCAGTTAATTTACTTGAATTACGACAAAATGGACAATGTCCATTCTGTAAAATTTGCATCTCTAATTCATCTGTATGGAAAAACTAATCACAATTGAGATGATTAGATTAATTGATCGGATTGATTAACTTTAAGAGTTTAATATTTACCCTGAAGCAATGTTGACATAAAGATATTTGAATGTCGGGCATTAGATTACGATAGAAACGTATTTTAACGGTTGAGGCCACTTGACGACCAGAATATCGGACGGATTAATAGTGGACAATAATCGGGCATCAACTGTGATCGGCTTATAATCGAGGTCAGTTTCTTGAAAAGTGGCCATTCTTTCAGTAAACGGATCTTCAACCCATGAACTTTTCTCAACACCCGATTCAATACCATAAGAATTTGATTCATTTAACTGATCATTATCATCGAATCTGAGAGCTTGATAATTAGAATCATATTCCTCCTTCCACCCACTTCCGTTTCCTCCTCTACCATCATTAGTATTTTTCACCTTAGGTTCTAATAGACTTTTAAATGTAACCGATTCGTGATTAATTATCTTGAGAGCTTCATTTTCATCTAAATCATCTTCCAATTTAAACTCAACCAAAGGTAGAATATCTGATGAAATCAATACAAAGAAAAGAAATGAAATTTACAATTGAACAATTGACAACAATTAACTGACAATTAAACTCACCAAAATTAGCGAATGAAAAAATATAAGGTTGTTGACAATTAATACATTGATTTCCTTTACTATTATAAAGAGGATTAGTTGTTGAGCAACGATAACACAATGGTAACAAATCCTAATAGAATTAAATTGTTAATCAATATCATTAGTAATTTCCAGTGTTAACAATTAGCTAATTACCTCAGAATCACTGAATGGTTTAGCTCTAATTGTAACATCGGCCATTTCAATTGCCTCTTCAAATCTACTTGGTATCTTAAGATTATGAAGTTTCTCATAAATAAGTCGAGCCAATTTGAAGGCACCAAGATTGCGACCTTGTTTAGCGAAAGCGTAAAGTATTGACCTAAATGAAATGAAAATAGTTAATTGTCAACCATTAATCAACAATCAATCTAATTATACACTAACACTTTTGATATTCCAGGTAAATCAAGGTCCAATGTTTCATGGTAAAGGTATCTTGCCATTGAGAAAAGTGCATCAGGAAAAAATGAGGTAAATGGCTCTTCCTAAATTAATTAAGCAACAGAGGTAAATTAATCAATCAATTATTGTAAACAATTAGAGGGGAAAAGTTAATTAATACTTACAATGTATCTGTGAATATTATGGTAAGCGAAATAAATATCAGCTTGATTCTGGAATTGATTGAACTTTTGTAACAATTTAATCTGTCGGCTTGATTGTGGTGTTGAAGATTCAGCTAATTCAAGACATTGAGTTGACAATATCCAACAATAATAAGAAGCATCATTAAACCTACACTCGTTAATTGCATTTTCCATCAGCTGATTAAGATAATTTAAAGCATCGCCAATTGCTCCTGCTTTATGAAAGGCTTAATAGTGAATAATTGAATAGTTGTTAGTGATTTAATCCAAGAGATTAACTAATCTAAGATGATTATTTATTTTCTTTTACCTTGTTGAGCCTCAATGAATTTATCATTTTCTGCTAACCATTTAGCATAAGGTAGATAAACAGTTTCCCTCATATCGGGATATTGATTAACTAATTTAAATGCTTCGTCCCATTGATTTGATTCAACGTATACTTTTGCTAGATTAACATGATCGCCCATTTTGTCATAAACTTCAGCGGCGGTGAAAAATTGTTTATGTTTAATCAGGTAAGAGGCACAAAGGGATAAATTGTTGTGGTCACCTTTGTCCAGGGTACGAATTACATTCATTAGCCTGAGAGAGAGAGAGGAAGTGATTAAAGTTAATTCAGTTAGATTATCTTGATTTGATTGGCTTACATATCGACCCAACCATGTTGACCCATTATCTCAATTGCTTTGGTCACATCACCGGCTGATAAGTACATTTCAGCCGCTGCTCTTGGTTCATTTATATTGTGAACCCAATCAGCTCTTTTAACGGCTAATTGTTTCTTGTAAACGGTATCACTTGATTCAACTAAATCTTGGGCTTGATCAAACATCCTCAGGTCAGTGTACATGTTAACCGCTTTATCGTCGTGTCCAGCCTGTTTATATAATCGAGCTGCTTCGGTAAATTGACCACGATAGGCCAGTACATCGCCGAGAAATGAAATCTCAGTTGATTTGTTGGATGTTAATCCGGAGACAAGATAATTATGGATAAGCTCAAGGTAAAGATAATTTCGAGTTCGAGTAAATCCTTTCTTGGCGATTGTTAATTCAATTGAATCAAGAGCTGTATGAGCTAATTGTTCCCAATCATAATCAGTCACCTTTAAACAGGCAGTTTGATAGGCTTTTCTAATATTAATATGAAAGAGAAACAATTAGTTTAAACAATCAACAACAATTAACAACCAATTCCATTTATACCTAAACATTTTCCTCTCAATGTATTGATACATTGGCACTGATTGTGACACTTCAATTGATGAGATTGCATCGTAATTTAGACAGAAAACTTTAGCTCCACAAAAACCAACAACAATTCCCTAAATTAGATTAACTAAATTAACTAATCTATTAATTGATTGTCAATAAATTACCTGTAATTGTTGACGATGAACTGGAAAATCTGAAGCTTTGATTGAAAGGTTACCCAAACCGGAATAACAAATCATATCTTCAAATTGGCTGTTCCAAGCAACACTATTGGCATTTTTTTCCTGTAATCAAAGAGGAACAATTAACTTAATTGTTGATTCACAATTACGGTGATGATTTTACCTGATAGATTAGATCCTTGGTCGATAAATCGTAAACATAAAGGTTACTTTTATCATCGACTATTGATAATTTTTTACGAAACATACTCAGGTCAAGACATCGAACTGGATTCGTGATCTTGACAATGTTCACTGGAAACGGATTATTAATGAAAATCTGAACAATTTGACCTGATTTAAGGCCGATTAATATTGATTCTCGACCGATTGAACCTCCAACTGCTCGTAGATACCTTATTGAACTGTCCAATACCCATTCGCGTTCAAGGTGACCCTGAAAGGAATAACATTGCAATTTCCTTTCCGAGCAAATTACCAAACAATTAGATGTAACAATTAACGAATTACAATCAAACTTTTGATTAATTTTCTCCTTTACTTTATAATGCATATCATTTGATGATAAATTTTCTGAGGTCAATTCATAGATCACGATTCGCTCGGACAATTGAATCTAATAAGAGAGAAAACAAATTCACCCTAAACGTTTAATTGTTCAATTCAACAATTTAATTGTTCGTAAATCAGATTAAAATACTTACTGCTAATCGATTCTTGAAAATTGCCAATCGTTTAACTAAATCTCGACATTTAATCCTAACTAATATTGGAATAGAAAAGTTATTAATACAATTAGGAAACTAATCAGCTAATTAATTTACCTTTTTCTTCAGTAATTAAATGCTGAATATAACATCGGACATATTTTCCCGATAAGCATAACGATCTTTATATAAACTATGAATTGTTGAGAAAATTAATTCGCAAACAATTAAGTTACCATTTTGAGTGGTCATTGCCTACAATCAACAATCAACATTTAGTAATTATAATGATTTAATTTTCCATTGAGAAAATTACTTACAACTTTACTACCATCGGATGAGGGTTTCGCTGACCATATCCACCCGGTATCTTTGTGGACTGAGCCGATTGTAATTCCCTCCCGTGAGTGTAAAGTGGCCTCTCGATTAGTCCCACTAATTAGTAAATAATCACCGCCTTGGAAACATTGTAATGACAAAGGTTCGTATCCAATAGGACGATCCTTACCGATCTTTTATCAATCAAAATGAGCAACAACAATTAACGGTGATGATTGTTTTTCTCACTAATTGTATCGAACAATTAACTTACCTGTTTACCTGAGATGTCAAAAAATGTCAATGATTTAGACCAATCAACAGTAACCAATGTGATTGAATCGTCTTCCCGATTGGAGATAAATGTAATTCCCCAAATTGAACCAATCGACGAACCCATTTTATCAATTCTTTGCTTTTCTTCACCAATCTAATAGTTATGATTAAAATTTACGGTGATTTGATTTTCTATTTTAATTGTAATCTAATATTTACCCTTGATCGAAGTGATATAAATCCAGCATTTGTACCAAGTGCTAAATGATGACCATCGGGTGACCAAGCGCAACAATTAATCGGTGATGAGATTTTATGTTTAATTACAGACTTTTGATCGGGTGACCAGATACCAAAATCGAGATTAGCACAACTGACCAATTGACCAGTAATTGGATTAAATTGTAAACAACGGACACTTTCATTGTGCCTTTAGAGAGAGACATATATAAGAGAGATGAATTAAATTTAATTCTAATCATTTGATTATCTTAAATTACTCACGAATATTTGAGAATCCCTTCATATTTGGATGTCCAGATAATCACTTGTTTATCAGCTGACCCAGAGGCAAATCGTCGGCCATCCATAGAATAAGATAAGCCTAAAACCTAAGTAAATTAAATGGCAATTAAGTTTAATTGTTTATGATTAACTATTCCAATTGCAAACTCAACTGTTTCTCGGTGATTCTTTAATGATGTTACCAAAACTCCGTCCTTCGAGTTGTAAATATAAATATTAGTCCCTCCGGTAGCAGCGACATGATTATTATCAGGACTAAAGGCCACATCATACATGCTGAAAATCAAACGGTCACAATTAAATCAATGCGAACAATTAACTAATAATAACAATAAACTAACTGATGGACAAATAAACTCACCACAATGGACTTCCCTCTCGATCATTAAATTGCTCCTTCCAGAGTAGATTAGATCTCATTTCTCTGATTCTTCCTCTTCTTAATTGTTCACCATCAACACTTTAATCATCCAATCAACTAATCCAAACAATTTAACCTCAAATAAATCACAGAAATTAAATAAACTGATCAAATAATAATCTCCATCAATCCAATGATACAATTTCTGTGTTCATTTTAACGGTAACAATGGTAACCGATTGATTTTCATTGATAAACAAAAAGGTGAACCTTTTTTCAAGAACAATTAGTTAATTGTTGATATAATGCTTTATTTTAAATTGTGAGTAATTTAATGGCAATTAAAAGGAAAAATGTTTACATGTTAGTTAAACAATTTCTGGCAGTTTAATTTAATTTGTTTTCACATCAAGTCAATGCAAAGGTTATTACAATCGATGGGTTGATTTTGGTGACAATCAAAAGGAGTTAATTGTTGTATCATTAATTTGAACAATCAATCTGAATCTTTTTTCAATCTTCTAACAAAATCAGTCTCTTCGGCCAATAAAGCAGCATCTTGTTGAGCCGATACCTGCCACATTAGGATCATCCGATCATCAACAATATCCTCATCTTCTGGATTAGTATAATAAGCATCATCTCCGTTATTCAAGCTCGGTACCAATGGATAATCGGATGATTTAAATTGAACTAAATGAGAAAATAAAATGATCACAATTGAATTAGAAGAAAAAATGAAAATCAATCAATCACTTACCTCGATTAAGTCCATTGCCGCAAAGGTTACAAACGATTGAGTGTTTACTTTCTTGGAGTATTTTCCATTCCTGGCGAATACGTTTTCGTTCAACTTCAACTCTAATTGTCTCTTTAATTAATTGTTCTGCTCTCTTTTCCATCTTAATCTCTTTACAATTAACTTGATCACTAATTTTCTTGGCGATTTCCATTGCTCTTAATCCTTCCTCTTTCTCCTTCAATGAAATCGCTCCAATGGTCTCTAATTGTTGCGCATTGGAAGCAATTAACTCAGCTAATTGTTTCAATTTTTCCTTCTCACCATCGAAAAGTATTTTCTTATTTTCCAATTTTTGCTGCTCCGACTGTAGATTCAGGTACATCTCTTGAACCTTCGACTTCTCCTTCGATAAAATTTTCCTCTCCTCATTAACCTCACCGGTCAATCGGTAAAGATTATCCTTCTCTCTGGTCATCTCGTTTTTCCACTCCATTTGATTGATAATCAAAGACGATTCTCTTTTCTCTAGGTCAAGCGATTTATCTGTAAGCCGAACATTTTCCCTGGACAGTTCATCAGATTCTCGAGACAATTTTTCCCGTGCCCGTGACACCTCATCGTCCACTCGATGTCTCTCCTCGTCCAATTTGTGTTTCTCCTCATCAAACGATCGACGTTCATCATTTAATCGTTGCTGTTCCGTAACAATTAACTTTCGCTGTTCTTCAATCAACTTGATCAATTTCTCTTTAGCTTCTTCACTTGACTCTTTCTCCCGTTCAACTGATCGTCTCAATATCGACCAGTTCTCTTCGATTACGGTTAATTGTCGATCTTTAACATCCAAACAATCAATTCGACCCTTAATCAGTTCATCTTCTTTCGTTACAAGTGATTGATAAAGTGATTCCATTCTATCAGCATTGGTTATCCATTTGTTAACCAAAGATTCAAGGGAATTACTTTGCTCGTGTAGAACATGAACCGTTTCGATCTCTTGACCTTTGATTCGTCTTAATCGTTCCAGATCAATCTCATGTTGTTCCGTTAATCGTTTGATTAACGATCGATGCATCTCCTTTAATCTGTCCACTTCCTCTTTACATTCACGTTCAATTGTTTCCACTTTCTCATTATATCGAGTTCGTTGTTCCTCTCGATCTCGTTCACTCATTTCCAATTGATCTTTTAATTCAGTTATCCGACGATCTCTTTCCTCCTTTAACCTTGATCACAATTAACAAAATAGAATTTCAATTAATGGTAATAATCAACAATCTATTAGTAAATGATTAACTTACATTTCCTCTTGTCTTTTATAAACATCAATGGTCATCGTTAATTGTTGCCTGATTGAGGAATCAATAAATTGTGTTGTTAGATGTTAATTGTTGTGTACTTAATTATTGGCAACTTACTCATTCAATGTTTTCAATACGTTGATTTCTGCCTTGTGATTATCTTTTAATTGTTCAATTGTAGTAACAAGATGATCCTTTTCCATGTTTAATATATCAACCTGATTGGGAACAATTAAAACTTTTGATTAATTTTTATGCGAAATTGATTTTCATTTTAAATTGTTGATTTACCTTTGCTTGTAAAATTAAAATATCCTTTTGACTTGTAACATAAGCAATTTGTAATTGCGATGAATCAGTTTTAATTGTTCCAGAAGTGTTGGTAATCATGATAGCAGAATCTTTTAATTTGGTTAATTCAGTTGATTCATTTTCAATTGTTTTCACTTCACTTTCACCTATTGGTGCCTCAGGTAATTTCTTGACCTCTTGACCTTGTTTTTTAATATCTAACCAACTATTAGTGTTACTATCGACTGATTTAGTTAATTGTTGAGATAGTTCTGTGTTAATTGTCCGATCTTTTGATCTTCTCTCCGCTAAACCAGCATCTATCCACGATGATCCTAAATTTTCATCAACAATTGGAGCAGAGGAAGAATTTAATTGTTGCTGATTAACTTGTGGCTGTTTAATTGCTGTCGATGATGTTGATTGTGATTGTGTTGTGATACGAGATTTAAAATCATCACCATCATCTTCCAATAATCCTAACCAATCTCGTGGTGATCGACCTCGAGTTGAACTTGCCGATGAGTTTATCGATGATCTTCCCGATCTCAGGTCACTTGAAGTCGTCAAATTTTGTCGGGAATTTCCTTCACCAGGTATTGAGGTTTGATCGTCATTGTCACTAAATCGAACTGATTTACCTCGTTTGATAGACGGCGATGGTTCCTCTGAGAACAATGTGTCGAAAAATGACTTCCTTTCGGCCATTTTGATCCAAATTGAACAGTTAATCGAACACCATTAAGAATTAGTTTTTAAATTCCACTTGAATTTGGATTCAGTTAGAGTTGAATTTCCACCGATCACTTGACCAAAACCACGAACCGATATTTAAGTTTGTTGTTTATTTTCTTGCTGTTTAATTGTTCACGATTTGATGGATTCATTGATAATTATGATCAGTAATTTGTAAACAAAATTAAATCTACAATTAACTGATTTGAATTTACTTTGTTTTCTGTTTTGTTTTACTTTTTTAGTGTAACCATAGTGATTCAATTTGTTTTGATTTAGCCCTATGGTGAATTTGGTTAATTTGTCCGCGAATACAATTAAATCCTGAATTGATTTACAATTTGTTTTAATCTTTTATATCAACAACCCTTTGTTTTGTTTTGTTTTGTTTTAACTAAATTATGGATACATTTATAGCTGGATTGTTTTGAATAACTAGATTTAAGTTAAATCACTTGGGTTGATTTTAGTTTTCTTTAAAGAATCAACAATTTAGCTGTTATTTAATTGTAATTTGTTTTTTGTTTTGCAATATTTTCACCTAAATTATGACATCTAAATAACAGGTAGACTTGGTAGATTGGATCATTTGTTTAAAATTTTAGATTTTCCTTCATCTTTGAATCCGATTTTTGTTATAGATGCGATTTTTATTTCCAAAACACTAATTTCCATGAAAGGTAGAGAGATAATTCCTAATGGATTTACGTGAAAGCTTTATCAACAACGTATAAATGAGGATTAGGAATAGCAACACCTTTAAACCAATATCCACATTCACATCTTTTACTTTCTCCTTCATGAATCCAGATGAAATTGAAATAAGTCTGATCGGGTTCACATTGACATCCAACCATCCTTTTTTTGGTCAACATCATGACCAACATTGGATCATCTTTAGAGCCACCATTAAGGTAGATTGGATTTTCCAAGAAAGGATCCTAATTTAAAGAGAATAGTGATAAATAAAATCGAGAATAAGTTGACCAGAAGAAAAAAAAACATGAGGAAAGATTGTATTTCCAAGATACTTACAGTGACTCCCATCTCTTGAAGCATCAACTCCATCTTAGTCATACCAATGGTACCTTCGATAGGATCAGGCATACCAATAGGTCCTACAAGTAGAAAAGAAAAAAAATCAAATTAAATTGTTGAAAAACATAAAAATCTATAAAAAAAAATACAAGGTGAAAATCAAAACAAAGCAAATAACAAAAATCACTTACGTTTATCAAAAAAAGGACCAATAACCGGTAGCTTGCTCATCTCTAAGCCTCGTCGACTTTGAATCATTGGAGTTGCACGATTGGCAAGAGCCATTCCTTTCCTTAATAAACTCATTTTCTTTTTAATTACAATTAAAATTAATTAAATAACAAAGAAAATTACAATAGAAAAAAATTGTTCAATTTGACCTTCCAAACAAAACACTCAACCAAATTTCTCACAAATTCTAATGCCATCTAGTGGCTGAAACAGAAAAGAAAATCGATTGTCTCAAATTCTCACCACCAGAGTTCGCCTCATGTTTAAGTTTTTTTTCTTTTTCTTTTTGATTTGATTGACTAATTAATCAAATTCTAGGAAATTAATTTTAATTGTTTCAACTTTAAGATGATTTTTACTTTTCTCGACTCTGTTTGCTTTTCACGAGATTGAACATCACAAGTAAATTCGGAAACAAACCATTTCCATTTCTATGAGTTAATAAGACAACAACCAGATTCCATTGGGTAAATATTTTCTTAGAATTTGAATTGATAATTGTTTTCTTTTTAATTAATTAAATTCTTTTTCTTTTCTATTCTTTTCCTCTGTGATTCTATTTTTATAGAATATTTGAAGATCCAGTTGTGTCATCTGATGGAGCTGAATGGAGAAACAAGAATTGTTATTCTATTAATAAGACCGATCAAGTGATTTTACCCCAAAGCCAATGTGAAAATTGAATAATCATCTTTGACTGTGATAAATGTGACAACTGATTTGATTGATTTTCCCTTATAACAATTGTTGTTACTTTGTTGATTAACATGTGAGAACAATTAAGAAAAGGAAAATTATAAGGTAACATAATTTTCCCTAATATGGATAGTAAATTATGTTAATTGTTGAAAATGAATTTGATTCAACACAATTTCACCGTAATGTTAGAAAAAGAGATAAAATTTGAACTTTTGTTATCTTAAATCAACAATAATCAGTTATCACAATTAATCAGATGACAATTTGTTGCCTTTATATATAATTTAAATGCTGCTAATTGGTGTTTGCGGATTCAAGTAGCAAAAAAATTCAGTAAACAAGAAATACGAGCAAAGAAACAAAAAATTAACTAACCATCATCATAACCCCTTAAGGGTAAAATGATGGGAACTAATTTATTAATGAAGTTAAATCAATGGTGGTAACTATTATTTTCCCAATTAAAGGTCATTATCATTATATAAACGTTTTTTTTAAAGGTATTTATTATTAGATTTGATTCAGTTTCCAAAAAGCTAATCAAATCAGTCTAATCATTTTGCTCTAATAACAGCAATTACTACACATATTATATAACCACCACGATTTTAACTACTTATTTTTAGCAGGAATTTAAAAAAAAAATAGTTAATCAAATAAAATCAGTAAAAAAAAGTCAAATGAAAAGAGATTAAGAAATAAAAATATTGCCCATTAACATGAATAAATTAATTACATGTAAACTGTAACAATTTAAATTGCTAACATGAAACTTGGTTAGAAGTTTTCAAGAATCAAGACTTGAATCAATTTGATTTTTTCTTTCAGGTATCCTAATGATAATTAAATGTTTCATCATCGTCTCTTGATGATAATTAAATGTATCATCTTCATCCGCATGTTGATCAAGGTAACAATTTGTAAATACTATTCACTAATCATCCCGGATCATCATCATCATCATCATCATCATCATCATCATCGTCATCATCAATTAATTAAACATTAAGAAAAGATAAAGTATCAAGATAAATTGTTAATCATTCGTCTTTTTGTCTTACCTTTCGTAAATTGTATTATTAAAATTACAGTTAATTAACCTAAAAAAGAAGCAACAAAATTAAGTTAATCACCTAATCCAATGAAATATATCATATTAACTGATCAACCAATTCAATTATTATAATACAATTACAATTTTTTTTTACTTGTTTCATTTTGGTTTTCATTCAGCAACCGCAACATCATCAAGTTATGATTAATAAAACACAATTAACAATCAATAATCGTGATTGTAATTTAAGTTATATGATAAATTGTAAAAGTCGAGAGACAAAAAAAAATTTACTACATGAAAAGTAACAACAATTAACTTAAATAAAAATTAAAAAACATTAAAACATATTAATTGTTTGGCAATATTAAATTGATGTATCATTGAAATGAGATTATTGTTTTAATGGATCATAATTATCATCATAATGATCAAACTATCAGGTTAAATTATCAGAGAAATGTAATTTAATCCACATTTAATATATTAATTGATGTCGATGAAAAGAAGATAGATAGATAGGTAAAGAGAAAGAGAGAAGAAGATAGAGAGAGATGATAATGATGAAAAGAAGAAAGATAGACAGATAGATAGACAGAGAAATAGAGAGAGAGTGTGTGTGTGAGAGTGAGAGATGATAATGATGATGAGAGAGATGAAATGCTTTTATGTATATTCATCACTTTTCTTTCTTTGTATCGGGAACAGCGTTAGAATTAATTGAGTGTCCAGGTCCACTTGTATTTTGATAATTTGCCAACTGCTTTTCGAGGTATTTAATTGATTCATTCAGAAAATTTTGAACTGAGGTAAGAGCCGCGGCTATTGCTGGACTACCAAAACCATGGGTTATAAGGGAGAAGTGAGTTAAATTTCTTTGTATATTGGGTTCCAAGAGAATGGGCTGTCTATTATTACACAATGGTGATCGATCTTGATTTAAAAGATCAACAAATTCTTTAACTATTTGTTTGGTGGCCAATATAAGTTCCTTTCGGCGGTATAGATCAGCTGGATCTGAATGGTTACGATGAAGGTATTCGGCAACTTGTCTTGAAGGGAATTCAGTTTCACATACATAACCAAAATCACGAGCTAAATGTAAAGCCTCACCTTCCACTAGTGAGGTAAGTAATGTTACATTGGCAGCTTTCCGACGACCAGCGGGTAAATTTAAACCAATGTTTTCCAATTTTTCTCTCAAAGATCGGCCACCGTTTTTTGATTTAGCTCGTCTTAGAACACCTCCTAATAATGATGCATTCAAACATTCGGGCGGGGAAAGTCGACGTTGAACCTCTCCAACAGTTACTTTGTACTTGGATGTTGAACTGAGCAAGGATAATCTTCCAGGCACAGAGCAGAAAACATCAGTTGGTGCGGTGATTCCTGTTATGACCATTTCTTTATTATCACTGTTTCGTTTTGCACCTAAAAGAAAAACAACAAAAAAAAAAGCCAAACCATTAGAATCTCAATAAACAAAACCATCCAAATAAATTCAGACAAAAAGATAGAGAAAAAGAGAGAGACAGATCATCATCATCATCAACAACAACAACATAGGAGGGAGATGAGTACCCATACATATTATAAACACTGATACACCAAAAGATAGACAGATAAACAGAAATCAAGTCACAGGAAGAAATGAGAAACCTAATTGTATACAATGAATATAATATAATATATGATTGATTATATGGAAGTGTTTCTGGTGATATATGATGGTCTCTATTTGGGGAAAGGGAGAGAATAGAATAGAGAAAAAAAATGAAAAATTCTTACCATTGGTGAAACATTTTCTGATGACACTATTATGGCCCCCGGGAAACATATTGTGATTATCCTGTTCTGCATTGGATCCCTGTGATGTAGATGAAGATAAATAATCAAGATATTCATCAGCACAATCATCATTTGAATCAGGTTTACTGTAAACAGGTAATCTTTTAACCAACTCTAAAGGTTTTTCTTGTGTTGGTAAATTTTGGTTAGTATTTAGCATTATAATAATAATATTAATATATGTTAGGGTTTTTTTAGTTTTCCACTTCTCTAAGAGACTCCAATTCAATTGGGTTGATATATATAATATTTGTATATATGTTTTGACAAGAAAAAAAAATTAACGATAACAAAAGAGGATCAATTTAGATATATAGAAATTTCAATCATAGATAAGATTATTTTTACAGATTCCACATTCAGATTAGTATTAAAAGGGTAATCATTTGACTAATTATAATTGTACTAGAATTGATTGTAATTTGGTTAAAAAGTGTTGGCTCATTGAGACAAAAAAAAAATAACATAAGAGTAAAAAAAAACAATATCTGTTCAAATGTACAGTTACTCTAGTTAGTTGATATTCTAACCGGTAGATGGCAGTGGGGAGAAGGAAAATTTATCATGTGTTGTGAATATTATTTCTTGTTATTATCCTTTTGTTGATCTCGTTTTTGATTATCGTAATTTAATTTAATTGTTTTTCGCTTTTTAATTTGCTTTTAGTTTGGTTTAATTGTTGGTTAATGGTGTTACCTGTTTACTGTGTGTGGTTTGATTTGTTGTTGTCTTTGTTTGGGAAGGTAATTTTGTTAAATTGGGAAATTTTGGTTAATTTGGTTTATGGAAATTTTTTGTTTTGATTTTTGGTTTTTGTTTTTGATTGTCAATAGGGTTATGATACTTACCAATCCATTGTCTATTGATTGTGGTGGACCACAATTTAATAATTCTTGGTCACCTATGTCATTTACATTATCGATACGATTATTATTGTGATGGAGTATCTCTGGACGTCTGACATTGACGTATGCAAATTCATTTCGCCTTGCGGCTAAGTTGGTGTCACCATAGCTTGATGATTGAGCTGTAACTGGATGAAGCTGATGATATTGCTGTGGTCCATGTGCAAATGAATTTAAATGAGGATATGGTTCAGCTGCAGTTGTATGGAATTCCAATTGTTGATGATGTGGTAAATTGTATGGTGGTGGAAAATAAGGTGGTTGAAAATCGGAGGCAATGGGTCCTAAATTTCCACTAGAATGGCCTTGAACGAGATCACGACGATCCTGTTGTTGATTAAAATCATATGATTCATCATTAATATTATTGGAATTACAACTAATATTATTGTTAGAATTATTATTATTATTATTATTATTAAGACCGTGATTATGATTATTGTGATGGTTGTTTACACTTTCATAAGAACAATTTTCACTGAAAGTTGGTGAAGGTGTTTCAGGTAACATGGTATAATAAGCAAGTTCCATAGGAAAATTTAATGATAATCAACGATAATAATAATAATAATCTATTGAAATTAATTGCAGTTGAAGAAAAATGGTCAAAAAAACGACGAAGATGAGGAAAAGGAGAGACGAAAAAAAGATGAAAACAAAAAAAAAATGATTCTCGCAAGTTCAACTGAACGAGTCAACAAAACAATTAAAAGTGGCCAATCTTTGGATTAAATTGGTCATTTAAATACACCTATGGATCTCTTTGTCAATTAAATTTAATCCAATCAATTTATAACCTGTTTGTTTTAAATTCACCTGATTAAATCTCAACAAATGGTAAAAGGTTTAAGGATGGATACAGATTTGGATTAAAAGGTTTTCTTAATCCATCCAATCAATGATTCTCTATAAATATATCTTATAAATATATAAATTAATCCGACCAAAAAAGTTTTAACTGGTTTAACAAACACATCAACCAAAAAGGTAACTTTTTAAGTGATTAAAACGACTGAATATAAATTACGATGATGAGGATGAGGATGAGAAGATGAGAAGATGAAGATGAAGATGAAAGATGAGAGGAATATATCAAACTGTCCAGATAGTAACAAAAATTATACGAAAAAATTAAAACTTTTAGTTGAAAATGATGAAGATGCTTAGAGAGAGAGAGAGAGAGAGAGAGAAATAGATAGAGATAGAGAAAGATGTAGATCCTGATGACGATGATTATTATTACAATTATCATATGCTGATGATGATAATGATGATGAAAATGATGGCAATGGTTTCGTATGTGTATGGTGATGGTCATTTGAGAAGGGTCAACATGGTTTAACCAAAAAACAAGCACCAACAAGAAAACAACAAGAATATCATTTGAATATGAGTTGGAGTTTAACTTAGTTTGTAGCAATTGAAGTAATTTTTATATTTGAAACAGAAATTGACCTTAATCATCTTACCTTACAACGTATATAAGTTTCCTCTGGGTCAGAGATTTCTGAACTTGTCATACTTAAAAAATGTTAACACAATTAAAATAAAAAATTTTGTATCAACTGTACATAAATACATTTACAGAAAGGTGAAAAAAAGTTTGAAAACAAGAAACAAACGCAAGAGGCAAGGGATCAACAGGTAATAGCGAAGCTAAGACAAGACAAGATTAGTGAGAGAGGAAATTGAGAGGCAAAAAAAGAGAGAGAGAGAAGACGAAGAAGAAGATGAAGAACAAGATAACTGCCATCTAGTGACCATTTAACATTAACATGTTATCATCATCATCATAATCATCATCATCCTGATGATCATTTCAAGTTCAGATTCATGGTAAGAAGATGAAAAAAGAGCCTGAACATTTAGCTACTTTTGCTTAGAAGTTTATTTTTTACCTTTGATCATGTTTCTTGTTATTTCATTTTCAAGGAGTGACTTGGAAAAGTATCTAATAAATCAGTTGTCCAGAAGGATTCACTGAACGAGAAGATGAAGATGATGATGATAGAAAGGGAGAAATGAGGTAAGAAGAAGAAGAAGAAGTATAAGATGATGATGATGATGATGATGAAGAGAAACAACGATTAGCGCAAGATAAACAACAGGAAAATACATAATATATTTTAAGAGAAGAAGAAGAAGAAGAAGAAGATGATGATGATGATGATGATGACGAAATATCATCTTCTCGCCATCATCAGCTCTCTTTTTCTTTCTCTCCTTCTCTCTCCATCTCCCTCGAAGTGTGTGCCCTCAGGCAGTTTCCCACCGAAGGCCGAAGCTTCGATAATATCATTAGCGATTTTTTCATGTCTTTTTCATTAATAATCAATTTCTCTTCTCTTTTTCTTCATCTTCTTTTCTTATATAGTTTTTCAAGGTTCTCTTTATATATATTATCAGGAAGAAGTAATAATATTAATATAATATCAAACCGTAGTATTAAATTGTTGTTTAGAATCATTAGTTAATTTAACAATTTGTATTATTACAATTGAATCGTTTAGAGGGAGAGATTGAGAGTGAGTTTAATTTGGTTTCGTTTTGTAAACAAAACAAAAAGTTTTCAACTTTCACTTGATCGTCAACGTTAATAACTTTTATGCGAAAATTGTTCATCAGAATGATCAGAACTTTTCCTTTATAACTAAATTAACTAATAGAATCAAATTGTTAACTGTAAAATTAAACAACAACGAGCAACAAATGAGAAGAAAACTTTTTGATTGTTTCTCAATTTTCCTTGTCGCAATTTTCACCGCTTAATTTGGTTATTTATTTATTTTAGATTGTTGTTAATTGTCATTAATTATTTTTCTTTTTTTTTGTTGCTTGTTGTACTTTCTAACAAAATGATTAACATGACAATTATCACAATGAGAAAACAATCAACACAAACACAACAAACCTTAGTGATTTTTAGCTCCTGTCAAATTTGTGAATATGTTGATTGTTTCATTGAATCAGTTAATTGTCTCTCGTAACAAAATACAACTCTTGTTGATTGTTGATCATTCCAACTCAGATATTAATTACTCGCTTCACTTGAGGTTAAAATCACAATTTATTTTGTTGAACACGTAACAAAATCAGTGAGAGAGAAACAGAGAGCGAGAGAGCGAGAGAGAGAGAGAGAGAGAGGAGTTAGTTAGTGAGTGAGGTTAAAGTCTCTCTCTCTCTATGTGTATTAACTCAGGAATTAAAACTAAATTATTATTAATCAGTCTTAATATTGATCACGAATTAACCTTCTGTTTTTTTTCAACATTATCTACAACTCTTACTACTTAAATTGCTTAAATTTTTAATATCTTAACTTATTAATCAATCAAAATGATGGGTTTTCAGGTTGATGATGATTGTTTGCAAATCATTGCAAAAAGTTTTTCAGAAAAACTTTGCATAAACCTAACCTGTTTTCAAGCTCAATTAAATTATTCAAATTACTGAATTAATTTTTTTCTCCATCTCCTCGTTCAACTTAAACTTAATCATAAACATTATACACAAATCGGTGACAATTAACCCACAATTTAACAGGTAATAGTAAACACTAGTGTATGTATATATACAGATTAATGTCTCTGAACATTAATCAAAATTATCTCATGAACAATATATATTGAATTTGTACTTTCTATTAATTGTTTCACAATAATAACAATCATTGGAAACACCAACAACAATTAACAACGATGATAATGATTATGTTAAATGGTGAAGGTAAATTAACACACAACCAAGTAAATTGTTAGCAAAATAACAACAAAATCAACAATCCTGAACCGTAAAGTATTATAAGTAATCATTATCACATTAATTTGCTGAACCAAAAGTTATGGTTACGAAGTGAATACCTTACATATACACACACACACACATTGGATAACAATCAATATTAATCACTACAATTGAATAGACTTGTAGTTAAATCAGTCAGTGTATTATTTATGGTGATACATCAAGTGTAAAGTGATATTGTAACATTCATTGATTAAGTTGCAAATACACAAATGACTGTATGTGTGTAGTATTTGCCTACGATTGTAATCTAATGGTGTTTGTTGTTATTTATCACATTGAGATGGTAGATTAGTGAGAGGATAAAAAAAAATGGATCATCTTTTTTTAGGTTAATATCATTATTTTCTGTTAGATGATAACTTTTTTTTTCCTCATGATTCCCATGTAAACATACGTCTTCCGGTGGTTACATTGATACACTGGTTAACTTCCGATGGAATAGCAACTTCATTTTAATGATATTTTCACCTCGTTTTCATTGCTTTTGTTGTTGATGGAGAGATGAAGATGAACATGATAATGTGATGAGGATGGAGAAGAAATTTTCATCTTGCTTTTTATCATCATCTTCTTCTTGGAAAATGTTGATGTTTGGTTTGTCTATTTTGTTCATGGTTAGGTCAACATGAGATTTTCAAATGGAATTTGATTATGAAAATTAAGATAGTGATATGGTTTTGATAAATCTCTTTATAGTTGATGGAAGAGATATTTGTGAATATAAGAGAGAGAGAGAGAGAGAGAGAGAAAGAAGAAAATGTCATATAAATAAATCAATAAATTGCCTGAAGGCGAATCATCTTTTTTTTTCATACTGGACACTATCCAAAGGTAGATTATTTTATGGAACCAAACAACTAGCAAACTTTGGAACCGGTTTATTGTCAGTTAACAGTTGTCAGTTAATTGATCATAGATCTATAGTATTTGCAATTTTGTTTCTTCTTCACCATCACCATCATCATCATCATCATCATCTTCATCTTTTTCTTTTTGCATCTTCTTCGTCCTCATCGACACACCAAAGGAAAGCAATACAAGTGCTTAACCTTAATTTCTGTTCCTTTAGAGAGAAATCGTGAAAGGAGAAAATAATTGTTACCTTCTTACATTCCTTTGGTGTGTCGATGATGAGGAAGATGAAGAAGAAGATGATGATGATGATGATGGTGATGGTGAAGAAGAAACAAAATTGCAAATACTATAGATCTATGATCAATTAACTGACAATAAACCGGTTCCAAAGTTTGCTAGTTGTTTGGTTCCATTTTACCTGGTAAGGTAAGTTCTTTTTGTTTATAGAGGAAAGAAAGAAAATGGAGTAGAGAGAGAGAGAGAGAGAGAGAGAGAGAGAGAGAGAGAGAGAGAGGTCAAAGTTTAAAGGAAGAGAATGTAAGAAGGTAAGAAGGTAACAATTATTTCTCCTTTCACGATTTCTCTCTAAAGGAACAGAAATTAAGGCTGAGCTCTTGGTATTGCTTTCCTTTGGTGTGTCGATGATGAGGAAGAAGATGCAGCCGAAGAAGAAGAAGAAGAAGATGATGATGATGATGATGAAGGCAATGAGAGCTCTTCTCACTTTCTAATTTCCATCTTTTCATGCTTACTTGAAATACTATTAGCTTTTTATACTATTATTATAATAGAAAGGTAATATTACTCAATGAAAAGACACACGTTAAAACCACTATAACAATAATCATCTAAATCTAATACTTGATGTTTTTTTTGTCTCTTTTTAGATTTTTTATGAATCAACCATCATAATCATCATCAATGAGGAGGAACCACTCCCTCAGATTTTGAGGTGATGCTGATAATCATAATACTCTCATCAACATCGACCTTATTGCTTTTGATATCTAACGGAAATGAACACGTCCAAAAAGCCTGACACACATAG